GTTTTAGCATTCCACATTCTCAAGGCCTTGTTACACATTCATTGTATGTGGTTTTTGGAGCTCTTAACCCCCTCTTGTCCACACATTAACACCTGAAACTAGTTTTAAGCACACTTTTTAGGCAGCTTAGCTATGGTGCTTCAGGGCAGGTTTCTCCGTTCTGTGTTACCAGCCCCTGTTCCATTAAATGTCTGGCCAGTCCCCACAGATGAACTGCCCAAGGTGCAGTCCTCCAGCATCCCAGGATACAGTGTCCCCTCCCCCACCCTCCTGTTCTTTGTGGACAAACTTTCCACCCTCTGAACTCTACTGCCCAGAAGATGGTTCTAGCACCAAATCAAGTCCCCCACCACCACCCCAAGGGTGTGACCTTCCCATCCCCAGGAGTGCGACCCCATGCAAACAACCTACAGAGCACATGCCAGCTAGCCAGGTTGCATGGATGGGTCCAGGAGTGGGGTGAGGGGGGAAGAACAAGGTAGGGGGCCTGATCAGGTCCCCATGATCTGGGGCTTCCTTCCTGGGGCAGCAGCAGTAGTTCTCCCCAAAACACCTTCTCTCACCGGTCCCATCCCTAGCCATGACAGGAATCATGACCAGCACTTGCCTACACCCCAATCCCAAATACAAGTTTATTAAAACATGAGACCTTCTTTAATTGACTTCCTCTTTAGTTGTTTTAAAATTATTTTGCTTTTACTTCTTTTTATTTCATCCTTTAGGGGCTGACTTCCTTCATTTCACCACCCTTCCCCCACCCCCATTTCCTTTCCACCTCCCATTTCATTACTCGCCCCCATCCTATTAACTCTCTCTACCTCCCAGCTTCATATTCCATCCCTACCAACCCCTCTCTCACACACCCCAACTTAGAGCAGAGATAGAAGCCAGTCCTGGTGAGCAGCATCAACTCATAGCTGTAGCTCCTACTTAGGCTCATGCTCACCAGCCCTCTACTGGCAAGTCACAGCTGTACAGGTGGGGGACAGTCAGAGGTTTTTAGCCTTAAGGTGTGACTGCTCCAAACTCAAGCTAGCACTAACACCAATCAACATTTGAGCAGCTCAAAGTGCAACATGTAACAAAGCCCTCAATTTCCATTCCCTATATGCCCACTCTGTTCATAAAGACATCTACAGATAATAGCTATAGTATCATATATTATTATCATATGAATGTTTTCTTAAACAGTTTCCCGATTATTTAAAACCTGAAATTCCCATGTATTTACAGTGTCTGAGACTTTGTGCCCCCCCGTGTCCTTTGATGGCTTATCCCTTCACCCTGTAAGAAACTATCAACTCATACCTCCTTGTAATCACCAAGATCTGTGCTGTTGCCAACTTTACCATTGGTTATGTTATCCTCCCCTTTAAGAAATAGCTATTTTGCTTATTTGATTCATGTTTGTTGGTGTTAAATATTTACCAAGAGAATAAAAACAGGGCTTTGTGGCAGCTTGAGCCTTCCTGAGACACTAGAAGGCTTCTGGCTTCGTGAGACCCTGTGCAATATCATTATTTTATCATTTAAATGGATAGTTTCATGGAGCCCTGGTCCAGATTTTCAGTAGTTTAAAATGTTGATATCTGAGAATTGCCTTTAGATTCTAATTACCCATTTTAATGGACTCTGAATAGCCACTGATTTCATAGGACATACAATACTGTGCTGTTTGCCCTCTCACTGCACAGCCAGCATATGTTAAGCTATCTTGGAGTAGTATTTATACAGTAGAGCACTAGGCATTGAATAAGGTTAACACTATTAAGCATGGCAAGTATTAATTGTCTGTCTGTCTATATCTGCTTGGAAACAGCTATAACCTTTGTTTTTTTGTTGGTGGTGTTGTTCCTGAAGTGCTAAAAGCATGATTTTTCAGAGTGTTGAGCTACCACAGCTTTGTCTGAAGTCAATGGGAGCTGTAGGTCCTCTGCACTTCTGAAAAAAATGCAACACTCACTGCATAGAACAATTTGAGATTCATCTAATCATTTTTTGTTCATGTTTCTATGGTACTAATGATTTCTTTTTCTTCCCTGCAGGGGAGCGAGGGCCAGCTGGTTCCCCAGGGCATGATGGAATTCCAGGCCCTCCTGGAGTGTCAAACATATCAGGAATCCGGGGTGATGTTGGTTCTCCAGGCCTACATGGTGTGCCAGGTAACTCATGCCATGTGCCCTGTAGCAAGCATCAGAAAGAATATTTAACACAGATTTTTAGCAGTGTGTCTTATTGTGACATGGGGCACCCTCCTCAACCAGTGAAAATGGGGCTTTCCAAAGGGGAAGATATGGCAATTAGCTAGACATTTCCCCGACCATCTGAGCTAAGGTGTATGGGGGGTATAAATAAATAAAGAAATGTGGTTGTTTAACAGGGTTAAATTTTAGCCCCGATCAGTGAAGTACCCTTTTTTAAAGAATAGCAGTTAAGCACACATTTAGGTAGTTTCTTCAGGTTATTGTTGAAGCATTTTGGTATGGCTTGCTTTGCTGTCTAGCAGCTTCCAGAAACACTAAATTAATTTATGGGTGGTTGGTTAAAAAACAGACTTGTAAGTGTAAGAAGCTTAGTTAAACCAATGGGGAAAAAATCACCACATAATTATTCCCAAAATATTGCTAAAAAAATATGCTGAACTAAACTATTAAGTTATATGTTATATCAAGCTTTCAAGGAAAGGTGTTCACTCTTTCTCTGCCTCTGAAAATGTCACCTACCAGGTCATTTACTTATTTATGCATTTCTTAGATTTATATGCCACTTTCCCATCCGAGTCTCATTGTGTCTTACTGTAAGACAGAATAATATACAAGAATAAATGGGATATTAAAATAAAATATGAATGAAAACGTGCTGAAATAATATCCCAGCCTAGCCTTGCTTGTTAAATGCCTGCCCAAATAAGGTCTTACAGCACTTCCAGAAGATATCCAGGCTCTGGAGGGCCTCAGGAGAGAGGGAGTTCCAAAGCTGAGGAGGAACTACCCTGATATTTTTTTCTAAGTGAACTGGATGAACTGATAGTACTAGCAAGAGGTTGCTCTCAGCTGACATTAGGGATCATGATGGGGCGTAAGGGAAAATGTAGTCCCTCGTGTGCATAGGGCCCAGACTGGGCCAACACTCAATTCAGGACCAACACTCTGAATTACACCAGAAGGCTATTGGAAGCCAGTGCAGACTCTGGAGCACAAGAATTTATATTCTCCTGGCAACTCGCACCTGTGAGAAGGTAGGCCACCACATTCTGCTCCAGTTGCAGCTTCCAGACACACAGTAAAGGGCAGCCCTGCAAAAAGTGCATTGCAATAGTCTAGCCTCAAGGTTATGAATGAATGGATGATGGTGGCAAGATCTGAATCAGAAAGAAAAGGCTGCAGCCTTCTCAGCAGATAGTGTTGGTGAAAAGCACTCCTAACTATCAATACCACCTGAAGATCCAGGTGCAGCAGCGGATCCAGGAACATCCTAAGGCTGCAAACCTGAGTGTCAAGGGGAGGCTGAACCTGTTCAAGGATAGGTTTCCCAATCCCTCCAGGTAAAGCACACCTGCCCACACCATCACCTCTCCCTTGTCTGTATTCAGTTTCACTTGAGTCACCCATATCCAACTGCCAACTGCTGCCAGGCACTTTGAAAGGGCAGAGACTGTGGGGCCCAGGTGAGATGAGAGAGCATACTGATGTTACTTCACACCAGATTTCCTCATGGTCTTACTTAGCAATCTCAGATACACATTGAACAGGAGTGGCAACAAGGTGGAGCACTGGGGAACATCAAAAGAAAGGCTCTAAGGAGATTATGAGCACTCAGCCATTACTATTCTCCCTGCTAGGAAAGAGCAGAACCAATTTATAGCCATCCTGCAAATACCCACCAGGTCACACAAATCCGTTATCAGCACCTAACGGTCAACTGTGTCAAAGGCAACTGAAGAAAAACAGGGTACAATTTACCATCAATCTCCAAATGAAGATAATCAAACATGAGTGCAGTGTCCCTGCCGTACCCAAAATGAAAGCCAGACTGATGGGATCCCAGGAATCTGATTACATCCAGATGTGCCTGGATGGAGCTATCACACAACCACCCATTCAATGACCTTTCCCAAAAATGGGAGGTTGGAAATGGGGCAATAGCTGCCTGCCTGGGTAGTCAGCATCAAGAAAGTTTCTTGAGTACAGGCCAGACAACTGCAGATTTAAAAACACCTGGTATTGACAACCTGAAACGCTGGGGCCAGAAATGGCCCCAGGCTTCCCCAGCTGGCTTTTACAAGTGAGGATAGGCATAGATCTAGCTCACAGTTGGTCATCCCCAACCCCCTGAGTACATCCACTGGCTCTGTGGGTGACAGCAACTGAAATCAATCCATGTAAACTAGACAAGGTGTGCCCATACCTCACACAAGAAAATACAGTATGGAAGCATGATGGGACAACTCTGTTGGTAGTGAGTAGCTGCTCTACTGGCTGCTGTGCTTTAATGGTGTTGTTTAGAGTGCACCAACATTTTAGACTTGGGTGCCTCAACAAGCTTTTAATTCACTGTTTTTATTGGCAATTGCAGATGCTTAGCAGCTGCAGAAATCAAGTTCACCACAGGCAGGCAGGTTTGAAGCTGAATTTTCATTGTATTGACTAGGCAAATAGCACAATAGGTAGTATTTATGAATGCACTCAGCATTGGCTTAACTCTGCTTCCACTGAAACCAACAGGAGTCTTATCACTGATAAGCACTTACAATACTGTCCTTAATCTTTAATACTGTAGTTATCAACTTCTCTCCACGGTATGTCTTTTCAATTTCAGAATAGGGAAGTTTCAAGCTGTAATAAGTTTTGTTGTTTTTTTTTTTTTTTAATCCACACTTCAGTGGAAGCAGCGTATATTGAGACAAACTTTATTTTAAACCTGTAATAATTTTGCAATCAGGCATAAAGATCTTTTTGAGTTCACCAACTGCTGGAAAGCTATTGGAAAACTCCCAAACATTACTTTAAAAAAATTCAACGTACTGGAAAATCCTGTAACTTGCAGCACAGCCAACTAAATCAAATTCCTCCCACCTCTACTCCCTGTATGGGTTATATCTGAAAAATTACTTTCAGACCACAGAGCTTCTCTCTCTAAAGTGTACATTGTTACAGGTACTTTGTGGGTTGGCTATTGATAAAAGAAGCAGAAACAGGTCTATAGCACAACCTTCTATTTGCTTGCACTTTCAAAACACAAAAACAAGCGTTTATCACAAAGTTTATCTGGCTACCTGTGACAGCACAATGTAGATCCTCACCTATACTGGCTGGGGAGACATGAGAGGTGGGAGGAGCAGGTTGGCAGCAAGTCTTAAATTTGCTGAGTTCTCCAAATTTCCCTCCAGTCTATACCCAATATTTATAGATGGCTGGTTCTAATATTCTAATACATGATCTCTGACTGGTTTTATTTAAATGTCTTTGTTTCAATGAAACTTTTGGAACTGACTGAACCAGATCTCTTGTGCACTTGAAAGTTGTTCATTAGTTGGGATTTATATCTTTGAGGAAGTATAATGGAGTGTTTCTTGTCTCTTTTCCTTCTTTTCTTCTTTGAGGAATGCTCTTCAGCACTCCTGTTTCTTCTTTACCTTAGCTTATGGTCTTCTCTGACAAGGCTGTTCTGTTTTTACAAATTATCTAAGCATCTTAACAAAAATGTACTTATTATAGTAAAATAACACTGAATACATTTGGTTACATTAATCACTACTACTATTTTTAAGACCAAGCAATGATACGGTATAGTTGGACAATCGGGAGTGTTTGGTGGGTTCAGACAAATTTAAGAGATGGCAACAATAGAACTGGGGCTTTTAAATCACAATTTTTGGACTCGGGTAGATTTATTCTAGCCCTAACTCTTTCCATACCACAGAAGTACAGAACATAAGGCAAATGTCAGCACTGCTAAATGTGTCTCTTTGATCTGTTGCCACCTGCAAGGATTAAGAGACTGAATCCTGGAAAGAGACATGTGCTCTCTTCCAAGGGGTGGCATTTTTTGTGTTAATTTCTCTTAAATGCGGGCTGTGTATCCTGCCTTTTAACGAGGATTCCAATCTCAATATGGTTTAACAGGCTATAAAGGAGAACAGGGCAGGCACGGAATACCATCTCCACCAGGAAGCAAAGGAGAAACTGGGCAAATAGGCGTGATTGGAGAAGATGGCCCAAAAGGCACTAGGGGTGACCCTGGTCTAACAGGAAAACCAGGGATTCTAGGGAGCTTTGGAGAAAAAGGTATGTATGATTAAAAACTGCCTCTTTTAAGTGCTGACTTGTATGGTACTTGGCTTTTAATTTATATTGTCTGCACAAAGTCATGATGACTGTGTGTGTCATTTTTCACTAAAGGCCAGAAAGGGGAAGAAGGTGTCATGGGCCCTGTTGGCACAGTGGGAATTCCTGGTGACAGAGGCCCCACTGGACCCAAGGGGAATAGAGGAGTTACTGGTGAGTAAGAGCTGTCCGGTGCTCTGTTTACTTAAACTGTATGTTCTACCTGTTCACTGGCTACCCTACCTGCTCTGAATCTGAAGATGGGAGTCTGGTCCAGTCAAAAGGGTTTATCTGGAATTGCCTTGTGACTTAAAAGAAGGGACCTACTTGACACTTAAGACCTGGTTCAAAAACTTCCATACACTAGCCACAGCAATTACCATATTTGCCTTTGCCTACCTCATCAAGTCAAACCAACAGAAAAGAGATGGGAAAAGGTAAAAAAGATTAGATCCCAATTTGAGCAATGCTCATGCCCCTCCTTCTACAAGACGAGAGACAGGACAGTGTTTAATGATATGGGACTTAAAGAACACTGCATAATGTCCTATATCATAATATCTTATCTGCTGCTTTATCAACCCCTTTGTCTCCTTCCACTAGTTTGTTTGGGGTTGCTTTTTTTTTTTGCCTGATATTATACTGTTCCCATGATGCAGAATTACTCTGTACTCTAGGATGTTGAGTGCCTTCCTATCCTCTGAGGTACTCTGGATACCTTTAAGAAACTCTTGGATGCTTACCTTGCTAGGGTGATCTGACCCCAGCTGACTTCCTGCCCCTTGGGCAGGGGGCTGGACCTGATATTGCAAGGTCCCTTCCAGCCCTTATGTCTATGAAATCTATGAAAATGCATAAGCCTTGTACATTGATGGGTGAGAGAGAGTGCACAAGTGAAGGGATTTGAGTTATTTTCCTCCCTCTAAATTTAATTTGCTCTTTTTTTGTCATAGGCCTTCAGGGACCTCCAGGCTCTCCTGGGCTGTCTCCCATACCCTCTAAGAGGCTTGCTGAGGTTGGTGCACCAGGCCCACGTGGGCAGAGAGGGCCCCAAGGAATTCCAGGAGAGATTGGGCCCCAGGGTCCATTAGGTGATTTAGGTAAGAACTGCAGCATTGGGGGTTGGCTGCAGCCAAGACTGAGGATTGTGACTGGGGTTTGCCAATGCTTCTGTTGGAACTAAAACTAGGAACTAAAGGTTCCTAACTAGAGGGTCTTGCCCATCCACTCAGGTCAGACCAATTGCCACGTTTGGGGGTCAGGAAGGAATTTTATCCTATGATCAAATTGGTATGGACTGTTGGGGTTTTTGCTTTCCTGTGTGGAAGAGGGCATAACTCTTTTCCTTGGATCTCTTAAGTGTATTATAACAACACTTGCATCAGATTTGTATAGGCTGATTTGGATAGGAACAGGATTCGAATTACATTTTGACCTGGGGGTGGGAGGAGGAGGGCCTGCAAAAAAAATTAAACTGGTCCATTGATTAACAAGTCCACCTAAATGAAGGAGCAATCTAATCAGAGACTCCCCACCTCGATTATGATTTTCAAATCTTACAGGGAGGCTCTCGCCTCTTAGGTAGGGGGCTCACCCCCACACCCAAGCTCTGCCATAATTTGCACTCTGGATAGGAATGATCCTGCATCAGGTAGGGGATTGAATTAGATGATTTCCACCTGGCTTTTCTACAAACAAGGAGATTCAACATGATGATTTTTTTAAGGTTTTAGAGGTGCACCTGGTAAACAAGGGTTCCAGGGAAGAAGTGGCATTCCAGCACTTCCAGGTTTTAGAGGTGATCAAGGACCACAAGGGCATCAAGGTCCATCAGGATCTGAGGGTAAGTGATGCTTCAGTATTGTTGTTTCCTTTTCCATTTTACATTATAGATTGTCAGTAGCTTACAGGAAGGCAAACATAAATGTAGCTGTGTCCCCCAGCTCTGTCTTCCACTTTCCACAGGGTTCAAACAAAAGTGCCTTTATTAGGCTTTATCTATCAGTAATTTTCACAGCTTTCATCTAATTTTTATTAAAAAAAAAAAACAAAAAAACCCTGATTTTGACTTAACTAAATCTCATTGTATTCATCTAAAGGATATTATTTAGATTTTGGATGTTTTATATTAGCTGTCTTTAAACATTGACACAATAGTGTTTTAGCAGCAAGAATATTCATGAAAATTGAATATCTAACTAGAAGAAACAGCGAGAATATCCAGCTAATATAAGGAAGGGTGTTTTTGTAGTAGAATTACTCATCAGCAGGAATCCTTTGGTTTTCTCTTATTTAAAAAAAAAATCACCAATTTTTTATTTTAAAAAGTAACCCAAAATCCACATTTTTCCATGATTAAAATGAAACACTACTATATGTATATCTATATATTAGTGGTGTTTCATTTTAATCATGGAAAATGCAGATTTTAGGTTACTTTTTTAAACCAAAAACTGAGGATTTGTTTTTATCAGAGAAAACCAAGATCCCTGCTCATCAGAATGAACCAGAAATTTTACCATGTGAATTAAGCTAAGCATAAAGCAATCTATCTCAATGAATAACACCAAATATTGGAATATTTGCTGAGACTTGTTTGCGGGGAAAGGCATCCATCTCCTGGGTGCTTTTTATTGAAGAATAAGTTTTGAAGTATTCACTGCTTGCCCATTTTTTTGAAAGATGTTCAACTCATAAGGCCAACTATTTGTGAATTTGTTTAGTAATAAAAAACATTCCTCTTTGCACAGACTAGGCAGGTTGATCCAACAACCATTTACTTCAAAAGAACTAGGTACAAGAAATATGGCTTACCATAAAATAGAAAAGTCTGATGCAATTAAATGTTGAGCAAGACATGTCTCAGTATATTGTATTTTGGCTGAATATTTTCTATATCACATTTTTTCCCCTCAAGGTATACCAGGCCGTCCAGGTAGCCCTGGGTTGCCAGGTATGCCAGGTCGTAGCATTAGCATTGGGTACCTTCTGGTGAAGCATAGCCAGTCTGATCAAGAGCCAATGTGCCCCATTGGCATGAACAAACTCTGGAGCGGATACAGTTTGCTATATTTTGAAGGCCAAGAAAAAGCACATAACCAGGACCTTGGTATGTATGCTTCTCCCTGACATCCACATTTGAAACTTCCAATCTACTTTTCCTCATTCAAAAAGGAGTATGTAAAATTAGAGCCATTTGGGCTTTGGGGAATATTATGCAAGGAAGCCCAGAAGTAACAAAGTGAAAACTAAAACACCTTTCTTCCACATGCTTCCAGAGGTAGTTCCCTTGTATTGCTCTGGCAGTTCAAGTGGAACTGTAAAATCTGCGTAAGCGTCACTGAATGTGGAGTTGTTCTGACAAACATGTATGCAGGTGTGTGCTAGAAGTACATCCTGTTGGAATATGCATACTCAGAGTTTGGTGGTTTATTTTTACAGGGCTGGCTGGCTCATGTTTGACTCGGTTTAGTACTATGCCATTCCTCTACTGTAACCCTGGGGATGTCTGTTACTACGCAAGCCGGAATGATAAGTCCTACTGGCTCTCAACCACAGCACCTCTGCCCATGATGCCTGTGGCAGAAGAAGAAATTAGACCGTATATCAGTCGTTGCTCGGTCTGTGAGGCCCCAGCTGTCGCGATTGCTGTCCACAGCCAAGATGTGTCAATCCCACACTGCCCTGAAGGATGGCGTAGTTTATGGATTGGATATTCCTTCCTGATGGTATTTTATTCTTTAAATAAATTTTGTTATGCCAATGCCATGGTCAAAACTTAAGTTTGGGTGTCCCAGCCTGGGCAAGCTTCAGGAAGAGGTTTTCCTGCAGTAAAAAAGCCCTGAGGGAGCAGAAAGCGTAATGGGGAGTTGTTCATCTCTCGCCTCAGAGACCAATGACAGTCAGAAGAATGGCTAAGGCAGCTGTTTCTGTTTAACCAGGCTAGTATGTGAAGCTGATTAAAATTTCTCTAGTCTAGGCAGGAAATTAGTCATGAGAATAGAGTACCTTCCCTGCTGTATGTGATGCAGAAAGGGGACCCGGAAAACAAAAGTAGACACAAGTGAAAATGGCAGCCAGTGTTAATGTGCTGAGGTAGTGTGTAGATGTCTCAGACAGTGGGAACTGGGAGTAGGTAACATTGTTAATGAAAGACTTCTCAAGAAATTGACCTGAAAAATCACTGATTTACACAAAAAGGGAAACTTGAAATTGTTTATCACAATAACAAGCAGTATGAAAAGTAACTTTCCCCACACATAAAAATGTTTAACTAATATTATATTAAGACCATGACCCCTAATTGATGGCAGGAGATGTGCACATACTTTTCTTTGGGGTCAGGTCCATTCAGCACTGATGGGGCCCAATCTTGCAATGCTTGCACACACGAGAGTAAATCACTAACACCAGAGGGTACTGAGGCTGCACCAGGACTATGGTATCAACCTCAGAATAAGCGGTGTCCTTTTCAACAGGCAGCACAAGTCAGAGGTATGTGATCTGGCCAAGACTTTACTACTCTGAAAGAACTGAGAAAATTCCACTGATGTCCGAGTTATGTCAATGCCAATAACAGAATTTGGACACAGGGAGAGAGCGGGGGATACGGAACTGCCTGTTCTAATCTTTCTATTGATGAAGGCCAGTCTTTACTAGAGCTGAACCTACAGTTTTCATGCCTCCAAGAAAGTGTCACCAAAAGCAAAAAAGCACACTATTTATTTTCATCAATGTTTTCCATAGAAAATGACAGTCAAAGGAAAAAAATTCAGCTTTTTAACCAACGAAAATACTGAGAAGTCTCCACTTTCCACAAACATTTTTATGTTGTTCAGTCCAAATTTCCATTGAGGAGAGGCTGACACAGAGCCAGAGCCCAACCTGCCATATATTTAGTGTCTCTTCCTACAGCTTTCCTTTGCTTCTGTAAAATGCAGCTGTTATTATTTTCTTGCTTTGCAGGGGTGTTGAGGATCAATTTGCTAAACACCCGTAAAGCCCCTTTGTACATACTTACATTATGAATAGTGTCACAACCTTGGCAACTGCCGGTCATTTCCCAGCTGACTGCCATCAAGGGAAGTGCCAAAAACTGCAAGTATTTATAAGACAAAACTTTCAGCTTCCTGGCACATATTTGCACAATATTAGCATTTGAGCAATGACCAGTCGAATACTTAGGTTGTGTACACTGTGGGATTTTGAGTACTGTGGAATTACATGTTGAAGCACACTATGTTCTTGATGATCCCAAAGCATATTTAAGTCTATGTTGCAACTTCCTTATGGTAAATGGTTCTGAGTGGGCCCACTCAGAGCTTTGTTAGGTCAAAGGAACTGTACACAGGAGATGGGACTTGCCTACCCAGATCTGGTTTCAGGATCTGAGCCCTGAATAGCAGAGATTAGATTTCTGTGAAAACATTCTGAGTTTGTAAGATTGCAAAAGACAATTCAAAGTGCTTTGGCCCCCAAGTCTGTCTAATGTCTAAAGCTGCATCAGTGGTCAGAGGGCTTGCAATTTACCTCAGCTGCTCTCCACTGAGTTATAATTTGAAAGATTTGAAGGCTCTTAACAAATGTGCTACCCTAGTTTCTTTGGAGGCACAGTAGCTTGGGAACTGAAATATTCATCTTTACCTAAAAGACTATTTAACTTCACCCTAGAAATACAGAAGACAAAGCAACAAAGTCAGCTCTGATGTCCTTGGCTGGTCTTAGCTGTTGCATGAGAGGTTGAATTTGAGCCATGTTTAACAGGTCAGAGATCAAAGCCCAGCTACTCGGAGTCAGATGGCGTAATACCTGTCGAAATGGCACAGGACTGTCGCTCCCCCCACCCCCTTCACCCTTCCTTGTAGCCCTAAAGATCATATTCTGCTTTATTAACAAACTCTGTGCAGCTTAGCAAGCTTGGTTGGGCTGTGCACTGAAAGCCTAGTAACAAGGGTTTGATTGTTTTCACATGAGGAATGAAAGCCCTTCCCATTTTGTAATATAAAATGGGGAACTTTAGAGGCTGAAGAGGTGGAAGAAGCGATTTGAGAAGAAAGATACATAATATTTTATTCAAAGTTAGAGAGAACTATGCTGGGATGTGTAGTGTTCCTATTTATGTACCTTCTAAAGGAACAAGGTAATGATTAAGTCTGAGTGTGGTTGATAAATGTTATTTAAACTGTGTAAGCCAGGCCATTTTTTAACCAGTGTGAGAAGGGCTGCATTTAACACAAACGTTAGATTATTCAAGTGCTAGGAAAAATGTAGTTAATTAAAGCAATCAACTTGCATCACCCTGTTACAATGTACGGTGTGGTATAGAAAATGAGTATTATAGGTAGGAGAAAATTTTCACACTACCCCCTCCCTCTTGTTGCACCTTCAAAGGTGAGGGGAGTTTAAGCTGTCTTCAGTGCATGAACATGGAATCATATGGATAAAGACTGAATGAGAGGTTTACAATGGAAAACAAGAACAAACGGTGTTAAAGCAGGGGTGGGCAAAAAGCGACCTGCAGTCAGACTCCATTTCCTTGCAGCCCCGCAATGAGGCGGATGCTTTAGGCAGGGGCCTGTAGGAAGCAGATTGCAGCTCTCCCACAGCCACGTGCTGTCACCACCCCAAGATCCCAGCCCCAGACACACTCCTCACCCAGCCATGTGCCCTGTTCATACAGCTCCCATTCCTAGTGGTGGATGCAGTGCCCTGGCAGCGGGGCTGGGCCCGGCAGCGACAGCCAGAAGGAGCTGTTGCTACTACGGCTGCCAGGAAATGGAATCTAGTCACAAGCTGCTTCCAGCCTACAGGCCATATTTTGCCCACTCCTGTGTTTCTTCCTCTGACATGCTACATGAGTAATCACAGTTAGTAGGATCAGCAAAATCAGAAAGTCCTAAAGGCAAACTTTTTTGGGTGACATACAGAAGCTATTTTGCCTTCTGTCTCCTCCTTCCCCTGTATATAGGCTGGATTATTCTAAACTAGAGTTTCTTAGCCCATAGGTCATGAACCAAAAGTGGGTCGCAAGAATATATGAAAGGGTCATGAACTTTAAAAATAGATCAACTTTAAAAATGGATTCTCCTTTAAAGGAGAAAAACATGGGAAACAGTGGCTTTCCTCTTGCAAGCTGGCAGAGCTCCAGCCTGCAAGGAGCTGCTTGGCCCCCCCATGCACAACACACTCAGGGGCTGGGGCAGTGGGTCAGGAGTGAGGGGCACTGGGTTGGAACTGGTGATTGATATT